CCCGCCGACTGGCCAGGCGTCGCCGGTACTTGGCCCGTGCCCAACCGACTTGTGAGCGGGCGGCCGCCGCCAGATGACTGCAACGCGGTGCGCTGACCCGTCCCAGGACGCGCGTTCACGGCATTCAGAGGCTGCTGAGACCCAGTCCCAGGGCGTTGACCGGTGCCTGGACGTTGACCGGAGCTCGTACCTGGACGCCCCGACGACATGGCGTAAAGATCCGAAAGTGTCTGTTCAAGATCCAACGAAGCGGTGGTACGTCCGGATATGGCGTCATCAGTCGTATTTTTATTGTGTAACCTTGAAGTATTGTGCTTTGCACCTTTTTTGGCAATTCCAGGGTTAAATTCATTGTTTAAAAATTTCTCAGACTTAAATAATGTCTAAAGTAACTTGAATAACAGTTGGGTGCGTTGTTTAAAGTTACTTCATCTAATGCGATGATTGGTTGGTTGAAGGTGGTTTTACTGGCACTTTCGTAAAACAAGTTGTTTGCCGTTTTCATTCTGGCAAACAACTTGCTTTACGTCAACATGTTAAGGTGCTTGACGCAATGAAACTGAAGGAGCTATGGCCACACACATGACCCCCCATCCGTGATCACTACAGTACTAACATTATCTACTCCGAGTAATGTGTATAACGTTAGGGATATAGTTAGGCTACAGTACATGTAGTCGTCGCTCTGTCCAATGATTCAAAGCTATGCCATACCTACAATTCTTGATCTGCTCTAACCTTAGCACTGTACGTGGAAGGCAAGGGCGCACTACTGTACGACTACACGATGTATAGTACTCCCATTTAACAGCCTAATACGGTATGCATCGTGATGAACTGGTAGTTGTACGGCGTTAGTTGGCCTGGTGCTGCAACTCGATTAGTTAGCAGCTGAAATAAAGTAATGGTTGTTTTATTCTGCTGAAATGCAGAACTTGTGTTTAGCGTTGTTTTATCTCAATTGGGCTTATATTATTTTAAACGTCTGGTTGTTTAACGCATTTAAACAACATGCAAACTACGTAAGCTACAGTGGAACTATTGCTCTCACGGAATTTTTCTGGCGCCAGTGACTGCATAAATGTGTAGAATTACCACGAAACTCGAGACGACATGAAAAGCACAATAGTATTAATACTATTATTAATAATACTACGGTACGTAGAAAAAATGATGTTTGCTTTTTGTGTTCTTAACGTTACCACGACATGGAAGGCAGAATGTACCATCAACGGACTGTCTTGAGGGTCATGAAAGGTACCAACGTCAAGGTGTGGTTCGTTAAGCGCATGTCTCTGCCTACAGTGTACTACTGGCACTAATTCTCGTTTTAGGCGCGTGCACTTCAGGCGCATTGTCCGGAATAACGTTATCCGGACAATTAAAATCCATCATTCTTTTCGACTTTGCCCCTAGATCGAATCAACGAACCGCTTTGGCAGCGTACCCTCGTATGAAGATGAATGGAACAACAGAATGGGGCAGGAGCTACTCGGCTAGCAGCAATATATATATATATATATATATATACGTCGAATAACGAGGCATTTATCAAAACGCCGGATAACGTTTATCCGGACTGGATTGTGTCTTCGCCTATAACGAAAGGATTGGACGGAGTGGTACGGTGGAGTTCGGGTTTAAACTCGACGGTGTACATGGTAAACCTTGCCATAAAGAGCCAATTCAAACCGATACGGGTCCAATTCAAACCGACGCGGGTCCAACAACCACCAATAATTCCAACTAACTGTAAGGTGTGTACTTTGCAAGTAGAAGCTGACTGGGGAAGCTAGTTTACTTGCGGTAAGTGGCCTCCTGTAACGTTGTTACAATTGTACTTAAAGTTCAGTGTCATTATCCGGATACGGATTCTTGAAGTTTTTTGAAAGCTCCCAACTCAAATTCTCTTCTCCTCCCTCTGGCGGCGGCGGCGATTACCAGGGCTGGCCACCGCAGCAGCACGATGGTGGCATCATGGAGGGAAGAAGTGTCGGCGCAATCACGACATGCAGTCATCAACGAGATGTAAACTTCCCCATATATCCAGCTCTTTCCGTCGTGGTCCTGATCCATCGCGATGGTGCGTAGGTGCTCCCAGCTGCTTCGCTTGCATAGGGGAGACAAGGAACAACTACAACAGACCGTGATGAAGTACGAACGCGCAGTGTGGACGAAGTCCGCCGACAAGGTAAGTTGGATGGCCCCATTTGCGCCAGCCGTCGCATGCAGACCATCGTCATTGTGTCGTAGGAGGCGTATTTAAAGACGTTGAAAGCGAAAATGCTTACGTTCAAACAGCAGCCCACCCCCAACGACGCGACACCGGTGTCCCCCATGGTGATGCTTCCAGCGAACGGCGACATGAGCGTGCCGGCGAGTCCTCAAGTGAAGCAGATGGAGACTACAACGTTGATGGACGTGGACATCATTCCCTTTTCAGATCAATTGCAGCAGCAGCAGCAGTCGTCGTCATCCCCGCCACAGCCTCCGACGAACTTGATGCAACAGCAGGTACACACACACATATATATATATATATATATATAGGTTGGATCCATTCATAGCATTCCCTTTGACGGACTGAACCATGCAGGAATCCAGTACGATGACCTCGTCCACACTCCACGAACAGTACCAGCATCGACGGGTGGAACTGATCAAAAGCCAATACAACGAGACGCATCAGTGTTGCCAGAGCCAGTTGGTCCAGCAGACGCAGCTGTCGGCGTCACATGTCCAGCAAAACACCCCCATGGTAACACATCCAAGATATGGATCATGTGACACGGGCGATGTAGGCGGCCCGACAGCTTCAAATGACCATGCTGCAACTCCAGCACGACATGGCGCGGAACAACCTGATGCAGCACCACATGAACCAGCAAAACAACCTCATCCAGCACCACTACCAGCAACTGCTGGCGCTCGCCAACCAAGAAATCAGCATCTAAAACCATCGATTTGTCCAGTGTCATAGTTGTAGTGTCTTCTTTCCTATCATCAGTAGTACATAAACCATATATATATATCTTGGAGAGATATAGCGGCAAAGTGCCGCTGTGTGCTATTAAACCATATATATATATATCTTGGAGAGTTGGAGCGGCAAAGTGCCGCTGTGTGCTATTAAACCATATATATATATATATATATATATATCTTGGAGAGATATAGCGGCAAAGTGCCGCTGTGTGCTATCATCATCTATACCAAGCACGCACACATAGTCATGTCAACCTGATGGGAGGATCGAACTTCCATTGTTTTTAGGTCGTGAGTAGATATATATATATGTATATATACATATGTATATATATGTACAGTACCTTGCTTGACCGACGGGACTACAAATGTATCAATAGAGTTGCCAAGTCTCAATAGGTTTAATACTCAAGTTGAGAAGTAGATGATGTACATTCGTACCTTTGCACCATGGAATTAAATTGGAAGAATTTATTTAAATATTCGAATTATATAATTGATTCAAGATTGTATTGAATTATAGAATTATATTCGCGTTTTGTATTTCAATGGTGCAGATCAACGACAAATACGGTAGTAGTTTAGTTGTCAGGTACCTACTAGTATAATTTATACCACGGTACATGTGCATGTAAACCGTAGATCAAGTCCCGATCAAAGAGTAGCAGCAGGTGACGACGTGTACAAGTCGGCGAGTGGCGTCGACGTACACAAAGCTCATGGACGTGCGGAGGAGGAGGGCTGGCGGGCTAATTCATAGGTCGACACGTGGTACATTATTCATGCCGACAAGCATTTGGGCGGCTATCGTAGGCGCAAGAACTCACTTCCTTTGGTTGTTTGGCGTTGGCAGTGGTGTTGAATGTCGTCCTACCGGTCGTAGCATCGACGCAGCACCATTAGAGGGGCTACACATGGCCCACAGCCAGCTCAATACGTTATGTAGCTGCCCGAGAAAACTCGAGGTGTCCGGATACGTTATCCGGATCACTCCGCCGGAAACCCCTTGCATTTTTCAAATTTCCAGCTCGTCGCACACACAACATGGCGATGCCGACCGCCCCAGCCGCATGGCGCGAAGAGATCTCGGAAGAGAATCGAAAAGGGATGATCACCGACATGTACGTAGATAAAGTATTCGTCGCATGTATATATATATACATGCGCCATGCTTTCCTGTGCCAAAGTCGTCTTGATCTCATGCAAGGTGTGTCCCTTTTTGTGTGTTTGCGGTACTAGGTATCACGAGCTCCTTCGTATCTCGGGCGAAAGTGACAAACAAAAGGTGTGGCGGTCCGCGGCCAAGTTTGAGCTGATGCTATGGACGCAGTCGACGGATCAGGTTTGGCTCGTAATTCCACAATCGACCTCAAGCGGGTTTTGTAGATGACATACATGTCGAAGCTGCAAAAAAAGATTGCGAGTCTCAAGAAAAAGGTCCAACCCGATGGGGGGTTGCCACAACAGCAGCAGCAGGTTCCATCTCAACAGGTTGCCATGAACCCCCAAGCGCAAGCTCAAATGGCGGCGGCGGGCATGTTCCAAAACTCCGTCAACATGACCAACGCGGGGATGACCAACGCAAACAACGCCGCCGCGATGCAACAGTACAGCCAGACCCTGTTCCTGCAACAGCAAGCGGAACTGTTGAAAAAACAGCAAGAACAGCAGCGCCTGTCCAATTTGGCCCGCCAGCAGCAGGCACAGCAAGCTGTGGCTGCCGCCCAAGCCGCTGCCGCGCAAGCAAATCAAGCCGCGCAAGCTGCTGCCGCTGCCTCGACCGCTTCGACCTCCACCCCCGCCACCGGCAATCCACTGGCCGTACGTGTCTCGATCATCGTCGTCGCCACATATTACTTCATTTTGTGTGTTTGATATGGAAAAAAACATACTTACTTGGTATACGTAGGCCCAACAACACCAGCCTCAAGTATTGATGCAGCTGCAGCAGCAGTACCAGCAGCAAAAGCAGGCGTTGACAACTGCACAACACAACGAGATGCAGCGGCTGCGGCAGACCCAATTGCTCCAGCAGAACCAGATTTCCACGCAGCAGCACCAGACAAACGTGCCTCAGGAAGCTCGCGTGAACCAGATGACTCAACTACAGCAGCAGCACCTGAATGCCCGCAACAAGCTCACGACCGAGCACAAAGCCAAGCAGTCGCAGCTCCTCCGGCAGCACCAGCAGACGTTTCTCCAGCAAAAGGCCATGTTAGGCCATCATCCTGCCATGACGACCAACCCCCCCGCCGCCGCCGCGTCGACCCCTTCCACGGCGGCACCCCCCCCCGGACACAATCCGTCGATGGCCAACCAGGGGGGGGGAGTGACTCCCGCGCAAGCCCTCGCCGCGCAAAAGTTTCAGCAGCAGCAGCGCGCATTATCTCGCCAAAACTCGACGTCATCCGTGACGGGCCAACCAACGAGTATGCCCCCAGCCGACGCGAGTTCGAGCTACGGGGACAAACTCAAACAGCTCAAGGCCAAGTACTGGGACGACCTGGTCGTTGTGTGCCGCGAGTTTACGCGCATGGCCATGCAAAAGCCATCGGGCGAGTCGCAGCAAGCGCTGCAGCAGCAGGAACGAATCAAAAACTTTCTGCAAAACCTCAAGCGCATCATGACACTGCTCAACCAAGACCCGACGAAAATGACGAGTAATAACCGAGGCGACTTGGACAGAGTCGAGCAGCATATTGAGCGCCAAGTGATGCCGATCCTGTCGCGGTTGAAAACAGACAAGGCCAAGCAGCGAGATGTACGTGATTTATATTGTCTTTCTTTTACCCAAAATATGGACGACTTTTGTGCTGATTCTTTGCCAAATATCTATCGATCGATTCATTGTACAGACTGTTGTAAAGATCGTCCAGTATCACACTAATTCGATGTTGGATTAGTCGAAGAGTGGATTTGATTGGCTAGTTGATTCATGTTTTGTGTTTTGATTGGTCGATATATCGATATTGTGTGCCGATTGGGTGCTGCTGCTCATTCGATTGAGCACCCAAACACTCGAATTTCGAATCGAATGAACAATATATATATATATATATATATGGGATGATGATTGGACTTGGGGCTTTGGTGGACAGGACAAGACAGAGCCGACGCCACCCTCGACAAGCCAACCGACGACGACGACGACGGCGGCGGCGGCAGACGTGCAGCGGCAGACGCTGCAAATGCAACAAGCGCATGCCGCCCAAGCGCTCGAACTCCAGCGACAGACCCAGCTGGCGACGCAGGTTGGTTGGATGCCTAGTGAGTCGTCTCGTCGTTTGATGTGCCCTAGCCGCCTAGGGGGAAAGATTAGACGACCGATTGGATTGATTGGATTGCCTTTTGAATCGATATATATATATATTTGATGGCTTGTTACTTAACGAGTAGCAAAAAGCCGCGCAAGAAGCGATGATGCTCAAGGCGCAAAAAGCAGAGCAGGTCAAGGTGGAAGCCGAAAAGCAGCAAGCAGCAGCAGCAGCCGCCGCCGCCGACCACGAGCGCAAGGTGAAGGAGGAAGAGATGGCCAAGAAGGACGACTTGGTCAAGCGGCAGCAGTTGCAAAGCAGCGTCAAGCTGACCGAGGGCCAGAAGCTGGCGCTGCAAGAGCAAGCCGCCAAGTTCAAACTCCAGCAGCAGGAAGTGCTGAGTCAGCAGACCCGAGCCAAAAGCCCCGCGAGCCAAACCAAGCTGGCCCAGCAGGCGCACTTGTACGGCGTGCACATTGCCAAGATCGCGCAGCAGCTGCTCCAGGCGAAACTGGCCGAAGAAAAGACGTTCAAGGACGAGTTTGTGTCGATCGTGGCGACTACCACGGGCCTCTCGGCGTCCGAGACGTTCCTCCACGCCATCGCCGCGTACGCCAAGGACAAACCCGAGGTGCTGCAGCAAGGCGCGCCCAAGTTTATGGAGCTCAGCCTCGCCGTCGGCACCAAGCTCTCGACCACGTTTGTGTGACATCGTCTGTGCTACTAGTACTACTACTAGGACCTACTAGTAACGAATGCGACGTGGGCGTTTTTTTTTAAATCTCACATGTTTGAAATGTCCATTCAACTGTTTTTTCCAGTCAACGGGGAGGGCCAGTTTGAAATAGATTGACCAAAAGGCGTGCGAAGTAGTACTCAACGCTGATTGGTCGAATTAATTATGTAGTATTCGGTGTGTGTAGGGTACAGTACTAGTATTAATAGTACACATATTCACTGTTAACTTTGGAAACCACCACGAGGTTAGACAGATTGTGCATGAGCATCCCCACCGGCTGATGTAGAAATGTAAAAATCTTCAAAGTACATCACTCCATCAGCAAAATTTACATTTTTCAGACCCACACCGGTTGCCAATAAATTTTACATCATGAACATAACACATAGATTTCTCAACAGATCGATCTGTTGGGTCGTTTACAGTTCTATGCGATTGAGGTCCCAATGGACTTGTTCAACGAAGTATGCCATCCCGACGTCCTGGAGCACGCCGGCAGCATGAATATAAATCTTACAGACAATATAATGTATGCCAACCCTGCTGCACTAAATTCTCCACTGGCGAGAGCTCCAAAACCTCAATCGCCAGCGGGCGTCCAACGCGAGTTTGCTCCATCAGGACGACAATTTCCGCCAACCGGTGTGGATTGGCTATGAAGTACTGTACTATTTATGTACTGTACAGCACGCACCCAATAAACGGGTCTTTTCAGCTCTATGTTTACATCAACCAGTGGGGATGCTCTAAACTTCCAAAATTCGCGTGGTTTGTCTAATCAAGTTTGAACCACGGTGAAAGTTCTGATTGGTTGGAATATGCTTGTCCTTTCTATAAGAGCCAATCAAATCCACTCAAATTTGGATAATAGCGTCGATTCGTGATTATTCGATTTGGCGGAAATCTGAACCGAACTCCACAATATACAGACAGCCACACTTTGAATAGCTGAGTGTTATTGGCCACAATACATGGATACACACATAAACGAATATTTGGACATCCGGGCCAAAAACAAACATATTCCGGCGACTCCAAGTGATTTGATTAGTCAGGTCTCGAACTGGGCCGGACCGAGTATGGACATTTCAAACAGGTGACATTCGTGACACCTGGGACACGCGCCCCTCACTACGTTTGAACGGCGGGAACCTGTGCGGGTTGTTCGTGTAGTATAACTTACCATTACATTAGTTGATGGGAAGAACCTCCACTTCTGAGGGCTATCCGAGGACTGCCATTTAAGAGCTAACGTTAAAGCTTGGACAAGGCCTTCTTTCCCCGACTTGGTGGCCTTTCGGAGCATATACTCATTGACATCACACCCCAGTCCAACTGCGCATGCGTTTTCATGAATCGGACAATCGTATACGTGTAGTGGCATTGCATTTAACGCCAAAAATACAGATCTGTCGGGTATAACGTTACTGTATCTTTGTTCCGTAGACAGTCTAACAACGTACAGAGCGTGCGCAGTGTTTACGGGGCTTGCGATTGAAGCGATTCGACATACAGTAGATATGCTCGCCACGTTTCAAAATCTACTGTTACTCCATAATAGTATGTACGTAGGTACCTACTTCGAAGTGTACTACGTACTACTGATTCAGTACTAGTACCGGTAGTAGGTACTTGACCAGAGTGGTGTAACGTTGGATGTTCCACGGTAGTTACAGTTTGATCGACAGACAATACGGTATGTCGCACGTTCGTAACGGTATTTGAGGATCAAATACCCGACACGTCCATCCGTTCAAGTTGGCACGTCATCGTCATAGGTGGGTGGCACTTTCAATCTCCTAAGCATCCCCTGTGATGACAACCAAACTGCCCCTCCCTCGCGACTTCTTCCGGTGTCCGCCGCTGTCTGCTTCCGATACGGAGGCGTTCAAGAAGCTCTCGCGTCGCGCGTCGACCGAGCTTGCGATCTGCGCCCGCCTGACCAAAGGCCCGATCGAATGGACCGAGGACGTGACCGAGCCTGGGCTGGTCATGTATGCAGGTGTCGACAGCGCCGGCACGGACGTGTTCACGTACGCCAGCGTCACCGACGTGAATGGCACGTTGGACGAAGTGGCCGCCATGTTCTACGCCGCGACCGGGTCCACCGAGCACAGCCGGCATCCTGCCAAGCACATTCTCGATAGCCATCGGCTCTACACAGTGGTGAAACCGTCGCCAGCGTTTCCCCGGCATGCCATTCACATGCGGTGGATGGTCATGGAGACTCCGATGAAAGGACTGGGGGTTGTGAGTCCGCGCGACTTTTGCGTGCTCGAAGTACGTTTCACCTCTCACTCTCTCTCTCGTATGATTCCATCTACCGGTAGTCACACCACGACGTGGAGCTCGATAGCCGCCGCGGCTGGGTGCGGTCGGTCGTCTCGGTGGAGTTGGACTGCTGTCCGCCGCTGGACCACGTCCTCGGGTTCGTCCGCGGCGAATTCCTTCGATCGGGCCATGTGGTCGTGGAAACCGACCGCCCCGGCGTCCTCCAAGTAACGCACATCGTGCAGCTCGACCTGAAGCTCCATGCGCCGCAGTGGATGCTCAAGCGCGGCGTCCGGGCGCGGTGCCGCGGGGTGCTCGCGATCGACCTCCTCCTGCGGGAGCGGCGGCTCAGTCGCAGCGGATCCTTCCTCGCCCCGGCGGAACTTGTGGCCAAAGACTCGCGGTCCACATGTGCTCTCTGCCACCACACGTTTGGGATGCTGCACCACAAAACGAATTGCCGAAAATGCGGCGACGTACGTGACTGTATCGCTGATATGGCTTTGTCTAACTATGATATTCGGTGTAGGTGGTGTGCAGCCGTTGTAGCAAAATCTGGAGCGTGCCCCTGCTCAATGCTGTGACAGCGTTGCGCGTGTGCACGAGCTGCTCGCTGAGTGCATCGTCGCCTACTGTGATTGGTCAACGCGGCGCCAGGTTCACGACGAACTCCGCCGAGTCCACCAGCCCACGGCACCGCACCACCACCCATCCTAGCGTCCATGTGGTATATTATAGCAACAGAAATGAAGATGCCTGCAACTTTGCCCAGAACGTTCGACTGCGTGCCGCGACCGCCGACAACAGCGACATCGCCATGCTGGAAGACTCCATGTGGCGAAGGCGGCAGCAGTCGCTATCGAGTGAAGTGGATCCCGATGGGTGGTCGACGTGAGGGTTTGGTCAAAGCACTAAATATAAGTTACTTGGAACCATCATCGTAGCATTTCTGTAGCAATTTCCATCCTCATTATTGTTAGTTACCGCACCAGTAGGCTTTTGTAATGACTTGTCAATGGAATCTCCTTTTTAATATTCAATCAGAGTCCATAACACCTTGCTTCTTACACACGATTGGCTATAACACTGGTTTCAATTTTGTGTGATGCTGCTCCAAAGAATTGTGCACTGATGAGTTCACTCCGACTATTTCCAATGTGGTTCTCCCCTTACAGCTAACATTATGTTGCAATGCCGTGATGGCTCTGGTGGGCCAACGCGGTGGTAGCAACCCATCGCAAGTGCTGAAGTGGCGGCTTGCGATGGGTGCCACCAAGGCATCTTGCGCCACTCGCCTGCGCAACCAAGTGATCACTCCAACAGGGAGGTGTACGGCACCGACACGGACTGATAGTGGAATGAGGGATGACCACATTCATTGGTTTAACAGGCAAGTGGTGATGTTACTGAAGTCTAGACCTGTTCGAATTGACCGAGTCCGGGATACCACATCGCATGGTCTTGCTCTCATGCACAGCCTAACGTTACATAATTATCTCAATGCTTCTTTTGCATCAACCGCCATCACAGGAGTAAAATAAATCGCAACAGGGTGTGATGAATCTGCGCAGTGATTTTCGTTATTTCACAGCATCGGATTGGACAAATTGGACAATTTTGAATTCGCAAGATCTGCCTTGCGAAATCCAAAAAGAGATATGAAAAATAAAAATCATCAATACAAACTTGAAGATATATTTAATTGAAACTGTACAATTTATGGAATAGTAGTTGACTTTGCACTGCATATAAAATTGCCTATTTCACCTTGCTTTTTCTGGTTAATGAAGTTCGAAGGCTGTTTGAATTCCATTTGTTTGATTGGTTAAAATAGATTTTGAGCGAGGCAATGGGCAATGATATTTTGTTTCGACACAAATATTCAAAACAATAATCCGTACTATTATACTTATGTCGTATTGTTTTGAATATTTGTCGAAACAAAATATCCAAAATGTGATTGGTGCGTTCGGTTTCTTGGTTACCTTGTTCGTGATGGCGAGTTCGGCGTGTCCGCGGTGTTATGCTGGCACGTGCAAGGAGCACAGCAAAGCCGAGTTGGGGTCTGCAGCCGTGGAGAAGGCAGATATGATGAAAAGGATGTATGACAACCTCGTGGGGAAGCAGCTGGAGAAGCTCAAGAAGGTCCAGGACGCCGCGAAACTGGAGGCCGACACGGCGCTGTATCGCGACTCGTTGGCCAAGAGTCGTGATAAGAAGCGGGAGAAGAAGTCCAAGAAGTCGTCCAAGGGAAGCAGTAGTAGCGTTAGCAGTCTCGCGGCATTGAACAGCGGCAGTGGACTGAATCCTCAAGCGTTGGCGGCGATTTGCTCAAGCGACGACGACAGTGACGACGCCGACACGCGAGCCACACGCAGACGCGATCGTCGTCAGCGAAAGAAGGACTCTAAAAAGAGCAAGTCGTCCAAGAAGAGCAAGTCGTCCAAGAAGCGTCGAGCCGCCAGTAGCAGCGACAGCGACAGCAGCAGAGAGCCCAAGAAACGGCGGACATAACTCGTCGAGTACTTATTCCACGACTATTGTACGTTGCCTACGCTAGCCATCTCTTCTTCTTTTGCATGTTGTGTCTGTCCACGTAATCACATGGCAACGAACGTCATCACATACAGACACAACACTGATCACTCAATCACCACGTCTTAATACTTCAAGCATATATGTACGACTACGAATGTACTACTAGTAGTACTAGTTTGTGAAGTATTAAAGCATATATGTACGACTACGAATGTACTACTAGTAGTACTAGTTTGTGAAGTGTTGCTATAGCGGGCCACACGAACACTCGAGTCTGGTTTTGAGCATGACGCAGTTCTTGTTGACTGGATGGGTGGACGGCAGCGGTTCGCCGTCGGTTTGGCGGCCGCCAAAGAAGCAGCCGCCGCCTTGGCAGTAGCAGCGGAAGCTGTGGAAACGGCAGTCGGCGTCGGTGGAGCATCCATCCAAGTGCATCACGGGCTGCGACCGGTTGACCGGAAATGTAAACTTGCCCAGAACTGGGTAGTGGTCGGACAGGTCCATCGCGTGCAAAGCCGTGTGCTTTTCATGGGGAGATGTCCACTCGACATCAAACGATGCCGGCGACTGCAAAGCGACCGCTTCAAGCGATGGCGGGGCCACGGGCTGTTGGTACGGCGCTAAAAGAGATGGAGGATCATGATAGGAGCAACAAGTTGATTTTGTCATCTGTTGTACGGTGTTGCTAGGAATAACCAACCAGTTCTTTTATGGTTGGAAAAGAGTTTGACATATTGTCCAATTTTATTCGAAACTGCCCTACTATACTGTATATAGTAGGTAGAATCGAACAAGAGAATGATGGATTATAGAACCGTATGAGCCAATCAAATCATGATGTCCTGTCGAATTTCTGCCAATCCAAATGTTTGATTCGGCCCAGTCCCTTTGCATTCGGCAAAACCATATATATAAAAATAAACATATTGCCGATTTTCCCAATTTTGCATGGTTCGTTCAATCGAGCACAAATAGAGCCGAGACATCTAATTGGCCATTATCCACTTAGTCCTTTCCAGTAGAAACTCGAAAATGGATTGTAACTAATCAGCGACAAGTAATTTCGGATTGGCCAATGGGAGAGATTGGGGCGAGATTCGATTGAACGGGGTCCGGAAATTCATACCGAATCTCCAATATATATATATAGTATACTCATACTTGTAGAGTCGAGTTTGTACAAGTTGTTTAAATGAGATCAAGTGGATTCGAATGGTATTTGGCGAAATCACAAGTCCAAATTTACTGTTAGAATAAGTTGAAATATCAGGATGAATATATAATGTTGAGAGGGAGATAGTACCTTGGGCATATAGAATGTAATCGATCCACTCGAGTGGACAGCACGGACAAAAGCATAAGCTCGACGGGGCCATGTAAATACTACTGCTGCTGCTGCTGCTTGACAGGGGGATTTGGGGGGGGGAAAGAACCGACGAGTTCAAAATATGCGCCAGAGGCGGCGACATCCGGCTCGGAGCCACGGACGCCGCCAGGTTGTGACATGCGACACGGGTCAGCAGCGACGGCATGTACGTGTGGTTCTAGGCAAGCCAGTGGTTTAGCCATGTGTTTTCGAGTTGGCTCGCAAGTGCTGGACTTGGTATGCCTACCTGAAGCGGTCCCCAGCTATCAATGTACTGCGAGAGGCATCCGTCGGCGGCGGCGGCGCCATCCCGCCCCACGAGCAAGTTGGTTCGGGGACTAAACACATAACAAAATGAGACCATGTGATCACGTCATACGATGTTGTTTTTGATCACGTCATCAAAGCAGCCACAACGAACGTACTCGCTCGTAAACTGCTGCGCGCCGACGACCACGGGGGCCGTTGCATGCAGCACTTGAATCAGGTGCGCGACTTCGCCTGCAAATGAGTGGTTGTCCACGTTAAAGTCACCGGCGAAAATGAGTGGCTACGAGTGACTGTCATACTCGCACACCCCGTCAATATGGACATGATCACTGTACCTCGTCGTGTGGAATCTCGAGGGCTTCGACAAACGTGTGAAACTGCAACATAACCAACAAACACATCGTCACAACAACAGCATCGCAGACACATACGTACTTGTGATGCCTGCTTGACGCGGTCGGTGCGGCCTTGCGGCGTGGACCAGGCCTAGAAAGATGGTTCGATCGGCCATGGAGGCGGCTGAGGGTGTACCATCTACCTGCATGTGCGTGGCAAACACATTGAATGCCTTCGAGTAGGCGCCGTCGGTCTTGTTGATCCGGGCATACTTGACGCCTTTCGCGGCCAGACAGTCCGAGTAATGACACGCGTTGCGGTAAATGTGCTGGGCTTCGCGGAGGATTGGCCACTTGGACACGATGAGGACGCCGCCGTTGATCAAGCTACCAACATGCATGCTGTCGTCACCTCATATCAGCATGTGTCGTGGAGGTACCTCGTGAACGGGTCCGTGTCGGCCACGACAGTGGTGTGATGGCGAAAGTTGAGCTCTTCGAACGCGGCAAGCATGTGCGCGCGTTCGGAATCGATGTCGGCCTCGGCAAACGTGACGACGTCGACACCGCCGCACGTCGCTGTGGGGCACACGTGGTTGAGAACGGATGCAGGGATGCGATGCAAGCGCTCGTCTTGTCCGTCCTTGGATACTGCATACGGTCGACCAAAGATGTTGTACTGCAAATGCGATTCAACACATGACGTTCGCCGAAAAGGAGAAGGCATCACGCACCTGGACAACGTTGAACGCCATGGAGGGCTCCGCGGGCGATGGCGTCGGTGGAGATGGCGGCGCGGGGAACGATGCCTTGATGAAGGTCACAATGTACACGAGCACGAGGCCACACACCAGCAGGCTCGCCAGGACCACCCCCACGAATCGGCCATTCATGATGTCAAGATCGCTTTGAGTTGTCCGCTTTTTCAAGGCACTGCCATTGGCCGCCAGATATTTGGGTAATATACCACCTTGAAATCTATTCAGGCATTCGCATTGGTCTAAATCCATCACAGGACTTATATTTCATTGGATGAAATATAATTAACGCATGGTGATTGGATAATTCTATCCAATTAGAGACAACTAGGTCAGTGTTTTACCCACATCGCCTATATCCGACGGGTATGTATACCCAACCACCGGGTGTTTACCCAAGCACCTTTTCGCATCCTTCTTGGAGAGACCAAGATCATGACGAAGGAAGGCGGCTACGGAAGGAAGGTGCATGCATGCATGGAGGTCGTGTACGACAAGGAAGTGTGAAGAAGGTGCATGCATGCATGTCGTATACTATATAGTACGTTCGTTAACCTTCCTGTCCAAACTCGGTGGTCCACTTGATAAACTGGTTCAGTTCCTCGGGCGCGACACTCGAAATCGAGTGCTCCAGCACCTTGTTGAAGTTGGTCTAATGCAAACAAACCATGACAAGTCTCATTCCCTCGATCATATGACGTACCATCGACACCATGGGGGGCTTGAGCTGGTCGTCTTTGAAGCCGCGGTCGGGCAAGTCGTACAGACGCATGCGGTAGGACCCGCACCGCGGACACGGCGCCTTGCAGCCCGCGCAGGTTGGAGCGCACTACCACACACACACATGATGTCCTGCATGTACTGTCACATGTTTGTCTCTACCGACGACAGCTTCATGTGGCAGTGGGGACATGGCGGGTCGTCTTCACATGGGGTCAGGAACGGCCCGTTCTTGGCAGGATGCGCTTTCTCGTCGCACTAATAGCCATGCTCCTCCATCAATATACCCATTCCCCATCGGCTATATATATATATATATATACACGGCCAAACTATTTGCCCATTTGGGGGAATTGTACTAAAAATCGAGCCAAGCCATTTGATTGGATCAAAGCAATTAGACACTGCAATACGATTGGCGAAAACGAAGGAATTGAATCATTCCACCGAAACAACCTCTGCAAATTATATATTATATTTCGCAGGTTTGGTGCATTATACAACCGAAACCAAGTGTCCCCGTAGAATAAAATAATATAATATTGTGGTATATTCGGTACGAATTTTGCAAGTTTGTAGCGAATATCACAAGATTTATAGCGAATATCACAATACATCCCCACACGACACACTAGTCCTATCTAGTATTATACTGGAAGGTAATAAATATCAGTCCTCAGTGCAAGTACAACACGCACACACCCAAGAATATAACCCCCATCGTACCCGATAAAAGAACTGCGCTTGCTGGCACTGACGCAGGGGTTCCATGAGGGCTTCGCGCACAAGTACCGAGATGTCGCTCCCCGAACATCCTTCGGCCTTGGCCGCCAGCGTCGTAAAGTCGGCGTCGTTCAAACTGTGGGGCGTGTCCCCCAGATGGATCTTGAGCATCACTTTGCGCGCGTGCACTTCGGGCAGCGGGATGTAGATGCGTTTCTCAAACCTACATTTGTCAGGTCGTTCGAAATGGACGAGAGAGCCACGTACCGCCGCCGCATGGCCGGGTCCAGCTCCCATGGGACGTTGGTCGCGCCGAGTACGAGGATGCCGTCGTGGGAGTGGCCGACGCCCTGCATCTGCACGAGGAATTCGGTCTTGATGCGCCGCGTGCTATCGCTCTCGCCCTCGCTCCGATTCGAGCACAACGAGTCGATTTCGTCGATGAAAATGATACTCGGCTTCTTTTCCCGTGCCATTTCAAACAAATTTTTCACCAATCTACCCTCGTACGAACACATAGTGAACATGATAACAAATACATGCATGAAGACACGAAAAGAACGATTGATTGCACTTGCTATAGTAGCCTTCGTGCAGTATATATATATATATATATATATGCATCCACCAAACCAACACGCCATACATGTATTAATTATATCAACAGCATCACCACTCAAGTCGTTGTGGTTGTTTGATTCGAAACTGGAGCGACATGGAGAATGAAAATATCATCACGACGAAATAAATCTACAAATGAATCGAGCCAATCAGAGTGCAGGAAATATTACCATCGCCATGTAATTAGCTTCAATATTCGTGTGCTACCAATCAGGACAATAGTAATATAATAAAATACAACGAATCGATCGAGTTGGCGAATCCGCACAAAAGTCCAACTTTAACGGAAAATGGCAATAAATCATCGCTTGAAATCGACTTGAAATATGCCCTTCTGTATCATAAACAATCTCTCCCAACATTGGTATTAACTTGTTATGATAAAAAAAGTGTGTGGAAACCGATATAGTAAAGAGCCTGGGAAAAAAATCCATAAAAAAATATCGTCCATATATGGCATCCCAACATAAACTAGAAAATGATTAAATAATATATATATATATATATATATTTGTAGGTACCTTTCCGACTCGCCTTGCCATTTCGACACAAGATCGGACGACGAAACGGAGAAAAACGTCGAGTCGGCTTCGGTGGCCACGGCCTTGGCGAGGTACGACTTGCCGGTTCCGGGCGGCTACGTTGCACGGATGAGACGACTGAGGAAGGATGAGGATACTACCCCGTAGAGCAAGATGCCCTTCCACGGCCGACGTTTGCCTGTAAAGAGCTGCGGGAACCGCGCGGGCAAGATCACTGCTTCCTTCAACGCTTCCTTGGCCGCCTCGAGACCCGCGACGTCGTCCCATTTCACGTTGGGTTTCTCCGACACAACCGCCGCTACAGGAAGGTTATGCACGACGTTGCACGAGCACCGACGAAATGTCACGTACATGCGAGCGCGCCGCGCAACTTGTTCTTTTCGGCGTCGCCATCCGTCTCTTCGTCGTCCTTTTCTCTACATACACAGAAATATGGACGTGACAATCGGAGTTTTTGCGATCGCGCGCGGAGATTTGTACTTTTCGGCCGTGCCGCCGGCGGCGACGACCTTGGGTTTCGCTTGTCCTTCGAGCAACTCACGCAACTGCTCGGCACGAGTCATGTACCCCTCCACACGCTTCATGATGATCGCCTTGGAGGTCGGGTTCTTTTCGTACTTGACGCCAATCATAAAGTGCTCGAGCGACTGCTGGTACAGCTTGAACGCGGCTTCATAGTTCTTGTTTGTGTCTTCCTGGATTGCTTGCGTCACCAGCTGAATCGCCTACGGGTATTCCATGCTGTTAGGTTAGTACTTTGTAGGGGTTCGATGGAGGGAGCCGCCGCCGCCGCCGCACCTGCGGGATGAACTTGTTGTCCATGGTGGATATTGGATTCTGCCACGAAGAATTGTGCACCATTTCACCGCGTGACTCTCGAATATTAATATAATGCTCGTGTTTTGAACCTACTTTAAGTAAAGGGAATTAATTTTGTTCATTATATGATTCGCCCGCCTAGGAATATAAATCCCTTGGTACAGAGTGCAGGTCTATACATGCATTCTCGACAAGAGTGCGCGCCTGCATGCTGAAGGAACCACCATCATAGCAGTCCAGGCCAATTCATGATGGAACTACCGCGCCGCCTTCATGGCAGTCAAGGCCAATACATGTAACGAATACAGGTGTAGGCACGACAGCGACACCAACATACAGTGCTGATGGAATGGTGTTGTGTAGTAAGTACTTGTCGACTCGGCGATGTTGCCGCGCCTTCCATCCAGTGATCATGCGCAGTATAACGTACGAGACCCAGGAGCCGCTAAAGTTTGAAATCCCATCCACAGGATCGGCCCAGCAGACTCTTCAATGTATCCTTCATGTACATGTCGATGGAATACAGCTAGGACATGCACGTAAGACCAAAAACGACTTCTGTATCCTGCTGCTCGGACCATGCGATTGCATTTACAGCAGTTCCACAGATTGAAATTATTCGATGGAAATTCGGCAAGGTGCGCTCTGATTGGCTGATAGAGTTGTCGATAAATAAATGAGATGGGAAATTCATTAAGGCGCATATGGATTGGCTAATTAACGATTAGGTGTAAATCACGGTTGTTCATGACAATTGCAATCAAGAGTAGTATGGCGACAACCTCATCAACACCGCCCGCGGTGATGACGAAAGCAGAGAGGATTGCGAGTCTCATCGCCGAGTGCACCATGTTCGAGGTCGACCCGTGCAGTGACCACTATGTGATGGGGCGTGTGATCGGCAGCGGTGCCTTTTCTATCGTGCGCGTGGCGACGCAGAAGCAAACGCAGTTGAAAGTCGCAGCCAAGTGCATCAAGAAGGCGATGCTGGACGTGCATGAGGTGCAAGCGTTCATCATGGAAGCGTCTGTGCTCAAGGAGGTGCGAACACCACCATACATCTATCCATCTTGAATCTTGTTGTCGCGATAGATGAACCACCCGAACGTGATCAAGCTGCATGCCGTGTACTCGGAGCCGGACATGTTCATTTTGATCACAGAATTCGTTGAAGGCGGCGAGTTGTTTGATCGTATCGTGGACAAGACGTTCTACACTGAGCGGGAAGCGCGCGACGTTGTCAAGGGCCTTCTGCACGTCACCGCGTACTGCCATGCCGCCAACATTGTCCACCGCGATCTCAAGGCAAGTCCATGTCCATCATCATCCATCTACAAAAGCTCATGGACTCATGCAGCCAGAGAACATCCTTCTTGTCCATCGAGACGACGACGCTAGCTTCAAGCTGGCCGACTTTGGGTTCGCCCAGCGCATTGATTTGTCCAAGTCCCACCTCGTGACACAGTGCGGGACCCCGGGGTACGAACATTCGAAAAAATCCAAAATTATGCATGTTGACCCCTCGGAAACCATTCGTTTTTTTGGCGCAGTTACGTCGCGCCCGAAGTGCTGCGCGGCAAGGCGTACGGCAACGGTGTGGACATCTGGAGCATCGGCGTCATCACGTACATCCTCCTCTGCGGGTACCCGCCGTTCCACAACGACAACCGCAATGCCCTCTTCCAGCAAGTCAAGTCCGGGACGTTCGAGTTTCACAGCCCGTATTGGGACCACATTTCCGACGCCGCCAAAGACTTTATCCGACTCATGCTCACGGTGGACCCCAACATTCGGTACATAGTACCGTGGCAAAGGTGTCATGTGTTTGATATGATGTGTGCACAGACCTGCGGCAAAGACGCTGCTGAAGCTCCCATGGATCGCTGGACCGAATGTCGGCAACGTGCAGTTGGAAGCAGCGCTCCGACAACTGCGCCAGTTCAACGCCCATCGACGACTCAAAGCCGCCAGCATCGCGGTACGCTCTCTGGATATGGAAAATGACGTGAACCTTGTTTGAAGGTCATGACGTCGGTAACCTTTGGAGTCGCGCCGAAGCAGTCGCCATCCGACGAGCCCTAAGTGTCGCTCGCTGTCAGTGTAATAAATCCGAAGCGATGGAACTACGTGTGGACGACGACGATCTGTGTCACACGTTCAGAAGTGTAGCCAAGGGACCATAACACAAGGCTTGACCAGTGTTTTAACAAGTACTTTACGTGGTTGTGATGGAAGGAATCATCACGCTCAAAGTAGACGTGTGCACATCTCCATCTACTGCTGTGTGAGTGCATGTGACATGGAGCGTTCATTCGATTCGAAATTGGGCTCAATTGAATGACCAGAAGCACCAAATCGGATATACGACCAATCAAAACACAAAACATGAATCAACTAGCCAATCAAATCTACTCTTCGAATTAGTGTGTGATTGAAATTATTTGTGCTTTTCACATATTTTGGCTAATCTGGGTATAAATACCCGCTTTTAACCAGTGGGTGACGAAGTTTTAGATTTATTCAACTTAGTTTTAGCTAATCGGAAGTACCTTTGATTGGATGAGCAAGAGCTGTTCCTGCAGCATATGTTGCTAACCTGAAGCGTTTGCCCATTTCATTTCGGCA